TGTAATGGAGGATAAGAGAAAATCATTTTCTGTGAAAAGTGAAACAAGAATCAAGTAGAAAATCATTCTACATGTGACATCACGGCACATGAAAGCTGATTTCTTGAAGTTTGGAACAGTATTGGTATTCATGGAAATGCTCTATTTATGTTTGTTTATTTTATACATTAATGTTATTTTAGCAATTTTAATATTATAGAGTCTTGTGATTCTAGACATTAAAATGTGTTTTAAGCCTAATTTTAATGTGTTTTGAAATGTCATGGAAATACACATATTTACATCAGTGTCAATTCATGTCCATTATCCTGACATGTGTGTTATGTCATATATTCCAAAGGCTAATGACACGTAAGCAAATTAATGACATTTCCATGTGTTTACATACCAATGGAATGATTTGGACAGTTTACTATTTCAATCCTTATGTCACACGTGAGAAATCAAACATTTCAATTCAATTTCGAGATGCAGGGTTTCACGTGTGGCATATATTAGATTAAGTGGCACCTATACGTTTGGAATGATTAGAGAAACTAGTTAATCAGTGGATTGCTTGTCATTACAGAAAAAGAAGAAGATTATCTTATTACAGTGGCTGTGAGTGGCACATGCTGTGGTACAATATATATGGACATGTTATGAAGTTACATTAAATACAGCACCCGGTCAGTTGGCTTACGAGACAGTAATTACTTCAGTTGATGATACATGTAAAATATGAAAGTAAATAAAATAGTTATAACTTTGTTGACATACATACATACATACATACATACATACATACATACATACATACATACATACATACATACATACATACATCAGGTACGTACATACATACATACATCAGGTACGTACACACGCACACATGCACGCATATGCATGCGCACCCACGCATGCACGTATTAAACAATGCAATAGATTATAAAAAGGATAAAATGTAGCTAAGGGTTAATATAAAGTTTACGGTGCCTGTATATTTTTTAATGTCTGTAGGCACTTCCTGCGGCTTCTGTCAACAAATTTACAGCTCGTTAATTTGGACAAAGGATGCTAAGTAGGAGTTGGGAAGTACAAATTTTATGGATAACAACTTCTTTATTTCGTGAGTGCGACGTTTCGATATAGATTCTTGTATCGTTGTCAAGCAGCAATGTAACGTGAAGTGGAGGCGAAGTATATATACTGAGTGTAACAAAGAAAACCATAATTGGCTTGGCAGAAAGCTCATAAACCCAGCGAGTTGAAAAAAGGAAAAGGCGTAGAGGCCAGAGATGTACAAATGAAAGGGGTAGTTTACAAAGGAGGAGATGTTTATACAGTTGATTGGGTTTGATGGAGGAGTGCGTCACAGCGGATGGAATGAAATATGGTGGGCTTTTGGCGTTTGATGTGAATGGCTTTTGCGTCTGCGTTTGAATCCGTTGATTACTCTTGTGGCAGACCGCCTCCGTGGTGTTGTGGTTAGAGTGTCCGCCCGGAGAGCGGAAGGTCGCGGGTTCGATCCCCGACCGCGTCATACCAAAAGACGTTAAAATTTGGTACTTGTTGGTCCCTGCTGGCGCTCGGCATTAATGGGTACAACAAGGACTGGTCGGCTCGGAGTCAGTATAATGTGTCTGAGTGGGGTATTCATGCTTCACTGCGGTATGGTATCTCAGTGGGCTAGCATTTTAAAACCAGCTTCAGTCTGGGCTACTACAAGCAACCGCACATACACATACACACGCATGCACGTCGTCATATGAGCGAAATATTCTCAAGCACGACGTTAAACCCAATTTCACCCCACCTCACCTACTCTTGTGGCAACTTAAAACAGCAGACATTACAAGACTTGCTAAACACTTCGAAACAATCAGGAATTACCTTTTCAGGTGAAAAGAAGGTAGCGTGAACATCTAAAACCTTTAAAACAGCTAGCTATAACTGAAGGGGGAGAAGTCAAATACTGTAGATATGTAGGATATTGATTTAAGTTAATCGATGCCTAGAGTAGTGTGTTTAAGCAGACTGAGTGAGTTAGAAATTTACGTCACAAGGGCAATATTCCAGCCATAACGTGACTGAGTTGTGTTTTACGCCGCACCCAGCAATATTCCAGCTATATGGTGACGGTCTGTAAATAATCAGATCTGGACCAGACAATCCAGGGATCAACGGCATGAACATGATCTACGCAAATGGGATGCGTTGACATGTGTCAAACAAGTCAGCGAGCCTGACCACCCGATCCCGTTAGTCGCCTCTTACGACAAGCATAGGTTACTGAAGATCAATTCTAACCCGGATCTTCACGGGTCATAACGTGAGGAAAAATTGAATATTAATATTGGATATATACACAAAGAACTTAGTTAAGCACCCCCTGACATATCACACGATTGAATGAGCCCCGATCGTACCTCTTTGGGGCATATCTCGGACGTGATTGGTCGTGGTGTGCAACAAAGGGATCCTCCTGTACAGAACCTGGCCCAATTGGAAGCTGGTTTACACGTGGACTGACCCTTCAGAGGAACAGGAGGCTGACAGGGGATATAAGGTGGAGAGTGCTGACTGTCGTACAGTCACATGGAGGTTGCACTCGGTGTAAGACACACCAAATGACATTTTGAATGTTACAATAACAAATATGCGGTCTTAAAAAACCTGGCATGCATATTGACTGACTGCCTGAGTTTGGTTTTACGCCGCATTTAGCAATATTCCAGCAACATCACGGCAGGGGACACCAGAAATGGGCTTCACACATTGTGCCCATGTGGGGATTCGAACCCGGGTCTTCGGCGTGACGAGCCAACGCTTTAACCATTAGGCTACCCCACCGCCCCGGCATTCATCTTGAATGGTGTGGGACATACATACCTTCCCAGGGGGACAATTATTTTGTGATACTTCAGCCAGCCAGCCCCCCCCCCCGCGAGATTATAGCCACTAACAATCGCAGTTATTTATACGCACTGCCAATTTCTAAAATATTAGTATGCACATCAGAATTTATCAGTCAGTTCAATGTCCTTTAAAAATTCAAGAAATTTACCGAGAGCTAACATTGTAAACACAGATCCTTCATTGTCGAAGCTTTGAAATATCCATCCCCTGTGATGGAAACATATTATATTGTTTCTGGTTTAGGCCGAGAAGTGGGCAATCGTCTGGGCCAAGGCTCAGGCATTCTTGAGAGATTTGAAAGTAGGCTCAAATCACCCGACTGATTTTGGAAGGGATTAATAAGGAGCCAGCTAATTCATAAATTAGTGTAAGGGTCATATAAAAAAGGTCCTAATACAATTTGTAAAATTAATTAGTAGTGGTAACTGCTAATTCTATTTCCCTAGCTCATTTCAAATGCTGACATACTGTAAGCATATTATATAACTAATCTTCAACCGTTTTTTTTTCGAGAATATATGAGCTGGTTGATAACACGAACAACTATCAATACAGAAAAGAATGAGTGAGTTAACTTAATAGTCCAGCAATCATCTGGAACACCAGAAATGGGTTTCACACATTGTACCCATGGACTCAATCCCGGGTTTTCGGCGTGACGAGCGAACGCTTTAACCACTAGTCTACCCCACCCCCTCAGAACAGAAAAAGACAAGACAGACAAAATAGTTGATTTATGTGTCACGTGAATGTACATGTCAAAAATGGCAACGGTAAAAAGACATAGAAAAATACAGACACCAGGCCAGATGGCCAATGAGACACACTAGACAATATGTGCATAAAATGTATAAAATATAAGATTAAAACATTAAGGAGTATCACACATATGAAAGACCTAAGGAAAAAACAACTTTATTGGGATGATAGCTTACGCCGATACATACGGCTAACTAAAGCGGCCAGTGGATTAACAATAATATCTGTTTGTAAGAGGAGTGTAGCTTGTTCAGTGTTTGATAACTGAGCAAAATTTGGGTGTAAGATACTAGATTTTCTAAACAAATCATACCGAAGATCAAAATAATAAGGACAGATAACTATGAAATGGACTTCGTCTTCGACAGCCTGACTACTACAGTGACGACAAAGCCTGTCTGCAAGTGGCGTCGCAGGACGAGAAAATCTACCACGTTCTATTTCTAATGGAAGTGTACCACAGCGAAGTTTACCTAGAACGCTACTGTGCCATCTGGGCAGTAAAGCAGTTATGTGTGGTTCTGGAGTAACAGTGTACTTAAACTGTCTATATGTGCGTATCTTATTACTGTTAGGATTACCCTAGTCATTCCACAATTCCCGTAGCCACTCCTGGTGATCTAACAACTGTATAATATGTTGAAATGACAAAGTCAATTCACTACTAGACATGTGTAGCAGGTCTCGCACTGGGACTTGCAACGATTGTAGTAAAGATGACACTGTGTTATCCCATGATTTGGCTAAACGCCGTGACCAGCTGCTAATAACAGAAGGCAATCGGTGCCATACGGTGCAACTTAACCCCAAAACGTTCTATGTTTTGACAAAGTACTTCGAAGAAAAGAACTTTCAGGAACGTGCGAATATGTACTGCTAATATAAATTCATCTATGGGCCCATTTCTGGTGTCCCCGCCGTGAAAATGCTGGAATAATGCTAAAAGCGGCGTAAAACCATACTCACTCATCAATAGAGGGCTCACGACAGAAGTTACTTCTCCAACCATAACTTAACTGTTTCATACAAACATATTGTTTGTATATCCACATTAGGTCCCATGTTATCCTTTCCTTTCATCTTGTACGATAACCTCACATTTAAGATGAGTAACAAAATTATGTTTAATTTAATTTCAGGGGAAATAATAGCCAGAATCGGTAAAGATTTTGTTTAGGTGTCAAGTCCTGGTGTTATGTAACCAATTTCCGCCCTGTCTCTCAACGGGGTGCTGTTTAAGTCCTCTTATCGTTCGGATTTCCTAGCCAGTGCGTATTGACCAGTAAGGTCAAGAGTTCATGTGCTGATGTCATAGTCACCACGTGACAGCCCCACGCGACAATGTTTACATTAAGACACGGCTGCGGACTGAGTTGTGCGATCAGAAACATCACAACAGATTACGATATGCAGGTTCGGGGTTACAGGTTAGACGGACCGTAAGAAGCACACACAAGCTATATAGGCGGGCTGTGAATGTGCTGCTCATTCGACAGTGACGCTAGGTTCTAAATATACCTCCTTAATTGCCAACTCTGAGCCGTGGTGACTCGCGGCCATGGGGTAACTGGACCGTGTTCTGTGACAGTCAGCAACAGTGAGCAAGGAGGTCGACGAACATGCTGCACTCCTCAAGTGGGTTATTCATATATCTCACTCCGTGACAGCCCAGATGATTTATGTCTGTCACTGCGAACACGGGACTTCTGCACTCCTCCCAGTCCAGAGTTCAGAATCCAGGTTTGTCTGACCTCATAACAATAACTCCACGTGATGACTCGATATGGAACTAAAGATGAACTGACTGACATGTAGCTATCTAGGATACCTCCACCACCGACAAACGTCTCTCATCTTGAAAACAGTGTTGAATAAGGCAAGTACTGAACCGTTTGATCTTTTGCTTATCTTAAGCGGGCTGTCTCGTCAAAGGGAAGTAACTCTAATTTGTTATGCGTGGGATAAAACAAGCGTCGGAGGCTTTCTTTGTCTGTGAACACGAATGAAAGGAACAGTGCTGGAACAAAACTAGTCTGTCTCACAGTCCATGAACCACATTATTTTCCCTACAGCCTAGCCCTCCCCGCAATGCCAAAGCCCTAAATGAAGTCTAGATTTCCCTAGGTCCTGAATCTCCCAACTCACTGGGGCTCCTTTTCAAGATAGATAGATAGATAGATGGATCTATCTATCTATCTATCTATCTATCTATCTATCTATCTATATCTATCTATCTATCTATCTATCTATCTATCTATCTATCTATCTATCTATCGATCTATCTATCTATCTATCTATCTATCTATCTATCTATCTATCTATCTATTCACAAAACCCGAAATGTTTTGTCCGATTCAGAGTGTTTTCATTTCAACCAAATCGAGATCCTATGTGTTTTATCCAGTCTATAAACCGACCTTTTGTAAGAAATACCAAAAAGAGAAAAATACACCAGCCGAACCTGATAGATAAACAAAGCCGTAGTGGCGGTATAAAACGAATTCTATGAAAACCACGTGCACATCCTGACGTCACATGACAAGGGTGAGGCGACATTCGTAACTACTCGTCTCTTTCCCATTGAAAGTCTACTTTCAGGTTATGGCAAGGGACGAGTAGTTACGAATGGGGGAAGGGAGAGGAACAGCTCGTTCTGAAAGGTCAACAAGACAGGGGTTGCAGGCACAATTCACAACATGAAGTTTTCATGTGAAATAAATGTCATTTAACGTGTAAAAATTCAAAATTAGAAGCATATAAAAGGTTGTTTATACAATTTAAACTGTCAAACTATGGCTTAAAGGTTTTGAAAGACAAAGGTTTTGTTGTTAGCGTATGTTCCGCTTGACTGATTCAGGCTCGTCTAGAACTGCAAGGTGCCATCTTGTTGTACATTTTGTATGTACTCCTTTGTTATACTCATGTACCACCGATGGTGGATTAAGTAATAAACGTGTGATGACAAAGGACAATATATGTTATGCTACCTGAGTGAAGAACCGGTTTTACTAAAGTGTACAATGTATATATTAAGCTGGCAGTCATATTTCTATTTTGCAATTGTTTTATAGCTTTGTTTAGATGTTTTAGAAAGAGGTCCGATTGTTCCTGTCACGACCGAAAGGGTTAATGTTGTATTTACGAAGCCCTGACCCTAGCCTGTCTCACAGTCAGTGAATCGCATTATTCCCTCCCTCCCATTCCTTTCTGCAATGCTGTAAATCCCTATATGAAGCAAGTCTAGATTTTCTCACGTACAGGTTCTAAATTTCCCATCTCACCGGGGCTCCTTTTCAATTTAACAGGAATTGTTTTGTTTCTATCAAAATGCTTTTATATTCAGTCTACCCCAACCCTAATTTTATTCATAGCTAATTCACTTTCACATTGCTTTTAGATATCATAAATGTTTGGGGGATGTAAAAATTAAATTGATTTAAGTGAATGAAGTCTTTCTGAGGTTTTCAACCTTTAAAACTAGGGATATAGTATGTATTTTATTTTCGAGGATTTTATTGAATAGAGTTGGACCCTATATGTTGGAAAAATAAGCGGAAACATTTCTTAAATATGACATTGTGGTTTCGTGCGTAATTATCTTTCATCGACAAGGTGGATTACCTTAATTAATGTGTTTGCATTTCTCTGTTCGTGAACAGAATTCTTCACAATGGAGACGAGTCTAACAATATCGAAAGAACATAAAAAGGTCAGTACCATTTTCGGAGGGGTGATGGTTTCTGTGATCTTGACACTTTACACGTGCGCCGTCATGGCAGGGGTGCCACTTCAGAGCCAGTACGTGAGGCACAGACTCCTGCAAGAGTACACGAACACCAGTAACGCCAGCGACATCTTCGCCTCATCGTGCGACAACGACACCGTACAGGACATGGACATCCTACAGATGGTTCAGGAGGACACTGCTCGCCGACTCCTCTACTTCTCCCTCAGTGGCAGCATCCCGTCAATTCTCGTGAATCTCGTGTTTGGCTCGTATTCCGATTTCTTGGGAAGGAAGATTCTGTTCCTTTTACCTCTATGTGGAGACCTGTTGAAGAACATTCTTTCCGCTTTGATAATACGATATAATTGGAGTTTAACATTATTTTATGCGGGCAGCGTAGTTGGAGGATTTTGTGGATCTTTCACTACGATTCTTCTCGCCTGTTTCTCTTACACTGCTGATATTACACCTCCACAGAAATCCCGTACAATCGCTATAGCTTTGTTAGAAACAGTTCTGGCTGTGGCATCTTCTGCAGGGTCTCTAGTCACCGGATACCTTATCAGCTCCCTAGGGTACTTCTACCCCTCGCTCATGATCGCCATCCTCCTCGCCGTCGACGTACTCATCGTCATATTCCTGCTGCCGGAGACGCTTAAGAATGTCGAGCACATTATTATATCGCCAATTGTACATCTGAAAAAGTGTTTCGGATTTTACACGATATACGGGAGCGGTTTAAAGCGGATTAAATACAACGTGTGCATGGTCATCTTGTTCTTTGGCGTCATTAGCCTGATCGGACGGACGTCCATAGAAACCCTGTATCAGCTGGACTTGCCGTTCTGCTGGAACTCCGTGAAGATAGGATACTACGGCGCCCTGCGTATTGTTATCCAGTCCATATGTAGTGTCCTGGCCATCAAGATGCTCCAGCCTTGCCTCCGGGACGAAATCATCGCCATCATCGGGATGCTGTTTGGGGCGGCCTCTCTAGCCATGGAAGCGTTTGCGACAACAGATTGGATGATGTATATAGGTAAACACTTATAAATCTGTATAACTATAACCCACCAATGATGAGTAGTTTGCGTGGACATTAGATTGTTGTCATGTAGACCCGTGAAGATCCGGGTTAGAATTGGTCTTCAGCAACCCTTGTCGTAAGAGGCGACTAGCGTGATCGGGCTGTCAGGCTCGGTGACCTGGTGACACATATCATCGTATCCCAGTTTAGATCGGTGACCATGCTGTTGATCACTGGATTGCCTGCTGCAGACTCGATTGTTTACAGACCGCCGCCATACAGCTGGAATGTTGCTAAGCGTGGCGTTAAACAGCAAGCAAACAAAACATTGTAATGCAACTTTGGGGGCCGGGGTAGCCTAGTGGTTAAAGCGTTTGCTCGTGACGCCGAAGACTTGGTTCGATTCCCCACATAAGTACACTGTGAAGCCTTTTCTAGTGTCCCCCGCCTAGATATTGCTGAAATATTGCAAAAAGCTCCCTCACTTCAGTTAGGCGTGACTTAATGACAGTATGTTTAACATGAATTAATATACTTTTATCGGTGATCACAAACACAGGGACCCGTGAAGATCCGGGTTAGAATTGATCTTCAGTAACCCATGCTTGTCGTAAGAGGCGAATATCGGGTGGTCAGGCTCACTGACTTGGTTGACACATGTAATCGTATCCACGGAGGTATCCAATATCAACAAAATCTTGTGGTCGCCTTGAGGCCGAAGGGAAATATAATAACGGGCGATAAATGTTAAGCCCACAGGAGGTAACTCTATCACGATTATTTACAGACTGCCGTCATATAGCTAGAATATTGTCTCAGTGGGGCGTAAAACTAAACTCACTCACTTTTCTGTGTTGCAGTGCCTGTTGTGGGAATCTGTGCCTACACAACCGTTCCGATATTCAGAGCCATCATGTCACGCATGACGTCACCGAAAGAACAAGGTAAGCCATGACGCTGAGACCATTCGGTTTGTTGTGTTGTTTACGGAAAGGGTCGAATGGTGGCGAATGGGATGGGTGTTGACTAACGTCTCTCTCTCTTTATTTATATATATTGATAAAATAGTTCCTTTTAAATTGAAAAGGAGCCAGTGAGACGACATATCCTGAAATGAGGTAATCTAAACTACAGATAACTGGTCTACAGTCTTTGTGAAATCCAAACATGGAACTATTTTGTCGACTGTCGAAGAAGGTGTGAGTAGTAAGACGGATGACGTCACTCAAAACCGTTGTGCTGTGTATTAATGCTCCTCCATGGTAATAAGGATGGAGATGATCTGTGCTGAAATGGTGTGCCTTTATAGGATATAAACAGATTACTTCACTCGTGCAGTAATGTTTAAGTACTTGTGCAGTAATGTTCACAGTATATAATTACTAATCGATATGTTCAAAACATTTACTTTTGTTATATTTTTATCCCCCCGGCATGTAATGCGGGGGGATATAGTCGTCGCCTCGTCCGTCCGTCCGTCCGTCCGTCCGTCCGTAATCATTTTGTTTCCGGAACTCCAAGAACATTCGATATTTTTCAACCAAAAATTGTAGATATATCAAACAGAACCTAAGGTGGTGCCTTTTGCTATTTACAGATTTTTGGCATTTTTGTTTTTCTCAGTTTCCATGGAAACGTTTTGGACTTAGTCTTAAAGGGAGGGGCAGGCTTCGTTTCCGGAGCATAACTCAGAAACCGTTCAGTATTTTTCTGCAAAACTTGGTAGATATATCAAACAGAACCTAAAGTGGTGCCTTTTGCTATTTACAGATTTGTGTGATTTATTATTTTCTTGGTTTCCATGGAAACGATTCGGACTTAGTCTCAAAAAGGAATGGTGGGTTTCGTTTCCGGAGCACAATTCGAAAACTTCTTAATATCTTTCAGCAAGCTTGGCAGATATGTTAGGCAGATCCCAAAGTGGTGCCTTTTGCTATTTGAAGATTTTTGTCATTTATGTTTTTCATGATTTCCATGGAAACGATTTGCACTTAGTCTAAAATCAAGCTGGACTTTAAGTAACTGTCAGATGATTTGTTCTTTCAAAGATTTTGGGGCCGGGGGGATATGTCATCTATCTATCTATCTATCTATCTATCTATCTATCTATCTATCTATCTATCTATCTACCTATCCGTCCATTCCATCTTTCGGTTTGTTTAACAACGCACTCAGATATATTCGAATTATATGTATGGCTTGACATACTGAGCGACATGCCATCCTGCAGGTTATGTTCATTGCGTCGCCTCCTACCACCAGCGGGAGTTGCTGGGGACCCTTTCTAACCCAGATCCCCAACACCGACTTACTGAAAAATACCCCCAAATTCTATACCTCTCGCCTTGTACTCTGCAGGTGCCTTGTTCTCCAGCATCGCCGCCATGGAAACTGTCTGCTCCACCGTGTCCATCACGCTATACAACACCGTCTACGAGCTGACTGTAGGGACCATGAAGGGGGCAGTGTTTCTCATGATGTCCGGCTTCTGCGGCCTTACAGTCCTTCTTATCTTGTGAGTCTCTTTACACGTGGACATTCATCTCAATGCACTGATATAATTGAAACATAAAATGGGCGTAAGGCATGACTTTATATCTATGATTAATGGACACAAACTGACGGACAGATTTTATTGGTATATATGGCCCGGAGGCCAACAGTACAATGTAAATATATTGTACGGAACACAGTGACAGCGCTACCATGCAATACGACGTAAATAGCATACCATAAATAGACAATGCTATGGGAAATAAACAGTTATTGTTGATGTGATCTATTGCGATTTATATGCTATAGTATTAAGGCTAACTTGTACAGTAGCTGCACGTCACTCGTTGTTAAAACAGCAATAAACTTTTCTTTTGATTGTTGTCTAAATTGACACATACTATTTACATTGTCACCTTCTATGTCTATTTATTCTTTCTACGCGTATGGAAATGATACATAAGATCAACGTAATATTCCATCAATCCAGCAATGTGTTAATGGCCCATGATATTATAACAACGAATGTGTATGTATTCAGATGGCTTCCCTTACAGTGAGTGGGTGAGATTGGTTTTATGCCGCTTTTGGCAATATTCCAGCAATATCAGGACGGGGACACCAGAAATGGGCTTCACATATTGTACCCATGTGGGGAACCGAACCCGGGCTTTCGGCGTGACGGGCGAACGCTTTAACCACTAGGCTACCCCACCGCCTCTTCCCTTACAGACCCATTTTATATTTGTTTCTCGTCTATGCAGTCCAATGTGAGTGAGTGAGTTTGATTTTACGCCGCTTTTAGCGATATTCCAGTAATATCACGGCGAGGGACACCAGAAATGGGCTTCACATATTGTACCCATGTGGAGAACCGAACCCGGGCTTTCGGCGTGACGGGCGAACGCTTTAACCACTAAGCTACCCCACCGCCTCTTCCCTTACAGACCCATTTTATATTTGTTTTTCGTCTATGCAGTCCAATGTAATCATCCCCAGTTCAGATCGGAAAGTAAGATACGATATACAGTAGCATTCCAACTGAATTCTCTTTTCTCCGAGGCAGTGGGGTAGCCTAGTGGGTAGCGTTCTAGCGGTTAAAGCGTTCACTCGTCACGCCGAAGACCTAAAGAATGGGATTCGATTCCCCACATGGGTACAATGTGTGAGGCCCCATTTTGGTGTCCCCGGATTTGATGTTGATATTGCTGGAATATTGCTAAAAGCGGCATAAAACTAAACTCACTCACTCTCTTTTTCCCAAATGAATAGGGTGAAGGGGTATATTGGACAGTGATTACATTTTAGCGATCACTCTCATAAATTACATAAATAAACATTTCTGTGGTGTCCCTATCTTTAGAGCATACAAGTATAGTTTGGACAATAGTTTATGTTGATATCAGTTGCCATGACAATTTTACAATACTTATCAACACTCGATCGAGACTTTGTAATGTATACGTGTGGAGTTACGTCCCTTGGTTGAGATGATCTGCCTGTTGATTATGCCTGTATGAAGACTTATTTGCATATACATTTTTCACTAGGATGTTCATGGTCATCTCAAGAAGTTCCCCTTCTTCCTACGATTACCTAATTCCGGAAGAAGATGATGTGCGTTCAGGTGCCAGTGTACTGAATCACGATCACTATGACGACGAAGACGACTGAAACCGAGGCTGCACATACCACACGGAGGCTGCACATACCACACGGAGGCTGTACATACCGCACCGAGGCTGTTAGGAGTATTCAAACGATGCGGCTTATGGAATGAGAATTTGTAACTTTAGAAGATGAGAGGGACCTCCTCATTCGGCTGTCCCCAACTACAAATGGTGCTGTATATTAAGTATGCATTTGTGTTTGAATAGTTTTTGTCTCGTATATAAAGCAAATGAATGGGTTTAACTAATACATGATACGGCATCTAGATTCGATTCTAAACGAGCTCATTGTGCAACTGCTCTCTTTACGGGAACAATTTTGAATTTATTAAATATTTAGCTGCGGTCTTTCCATTGTGTACTGTGATATAAGCGTTCAGACACATCTAATGCAATCTCTCTTTTTGTGATGTGTTATATACTGATTATACACCCTGTGCGTGTAGCCTAAATATTTCAGCAAATGTAACATATGTTCTATTTTGGATTACACTTTCTCAGTATGGTACATATTCTAGTATTTTTGTTTGGTTGAGTCCGGGATTCGAACCCACTCCCTCAGAGTCAGTAAAGTACTGTACTTTACTGAGAAAGTGTAAACCCAAATATAACATACATTGGATAAACGGGACACGACTGTATATTACATTTGACCACATTCTAAATGGCATTGTGTATTCATCGTTTCAGTATATGGTGTAGATGAATATTGCTTAGTGCATGTTGAAGATATGGGATAAGAATGTGACTAGTCTCACCAATATTACTGAGGGTACGAGGATATATTCAGTTTAGCAAGTAACAAGATGTTGAGGATAGTACTTGCGTATTTTGGATAGTACTTCCATGTCTTGAATAGGTATTGCACTTTGTAAATAAGGTGTAATATTACAGAGAGTGCTTTCATATGGTAAAACGTAGTTTCATATTATGAATAGTACTTGCATGTCAGACATTACTTTCATGTCTTTAGGTTAGTACTTACATACCACGAATACTTTCATGCAGAAATAATTCTTTCATGACTGTGATGGACAGGTTTTGCACATTATTATGTATATATGTATATAACTACTTTATAGGTATACGATTGGCATACAATGAATAGAACCTGAATATTATGGATTGGGCTTTCACATAGCGGAATATCACATACATTTAATGGTTGTTTTTGCATGTAATGGATGGTACTGGCACATTGAAGGTAGCGTTTCAACAGACTGAGTATAGAATGTTGCATTTTGATTGCTGAAACTGGACAGTTAAGCTTGAATCAGTCCGTGAAAAGGAACTTTAACAGTTGTATTCTGAAATTGAAAGAGATGGGAATTGCAGGACGCGACTTCTCGTAAATGTGTCTATGCACATGACAGACTCATCGACTAGTTCCAGCCATAACCCGTTACATCATTCCTGGATGTGCCTCAACGTCTTCAGCCATAGCTAATCAACGTTATCATTCAAATTTGATCATCTCATTTTGTGATTGCGCCAGGTGGGCACATTACTTCCTACTGACTTTATCATGGGCTCCCGTTTGTTCTTTTGATGGGAGTGTATTTAGTTTATGATGAATATTTTGTTTGATGCACGTTCTGTGTACCATTGCATCTATGATTACACAACACAGCTGAATAATATCTTAATTCTTTTGCAGTTTTTTATATTATTATTTATAGCACCGTTTTACTTAATCTTTTTTATAGGCGTTTACATCTGATATGCATTTAGACAACATATTACTGTCTGTATTATGTTGTGCCAATAAAAGACTGATCGGAAATATTTGTTTTTATTTTAAAGTTTGACTTTATATTACATTTATGTGCAGCATCTTATGAGATCATCAAGTCGCCATTATCTTCCTTACTTCATCAGGAACAACCGGACACAGGGTTAGTCTGGATGACCCGTTAGTCCGGACACCCAGTCAGACTAGACACTCCATTTGGGCACAGTTTTAGACTGGAAATGCCATCGACCCGGAAACCCCTTTGTACGGTTACCCCATTAATCGGGTTGGCCCGGAAACACCGTTCAGCGAGGTACCCCACCTGCCATAAGTCATTTACAGGAGCTCTGAATGGATGTGTTTGACAATTTGGTCGTTGACAAGGAAATACGTCACCATTGTCTTGTCAAACAAATTTTTCACAACTGCCATTCGTTTGTTCCGCTGATGGCGTATTAATAAATATGTTAACTGGCTCACATTCTTTGAACTGCTCTTGACATACACATGACACCTCCCTTTAGACTCTTTCTTTGCATACCCGTGAAGATCTGGGTTAGAATTGATCTTCAGTAACCCATGCTTGTCGTAAGAGGCGTCTAACGGGATCGGGTGGTCAGGCTCGCTGACTTGTTTGACACACGTCATCGTATCCCCAATTGCGTAGATTGATGCTCATGCTGTTGATTACTGAATTGTCTGGTACAGATTCGATTAGTTCCAGACCGCCGCCATATAGCTGGAATATTGCTGAGTGCGGCCAACTAACCAATCTGTCCTTGCACTGTTATGGCACATGTCAGACTGCTTGATGTTGCTGTGGAATAGAGCTACTGCTGCTCCTCATCAGAGGCATCCTCTTCATCACGCCCTTGTACACAGAGGGTGTTCTGGGGTGACACTGCTATCGACCGAGTCTTGAACACAAATACTCTGAAAATGAATGGACGTGATCATTTAACCATTTCGAGGGGCGGTGGGGTAGCCTAGTGGTCAAAGCGTTCGCTCGTCACGGGTACAATGTGTAAAGCCCATTTTATGTGTCCCCCGCCGTGATATTGCTGAAATATTGCTAAAAGCGGCGTAAAACTAAACTTACTCAAAACACAAATTTAACCATTTTGAGAGTCACAAACATTATCCCTTATTCTGTCTGATTGATTCTTGAAATACACCTTTATCACCAAACATTTTTATGATGCGTTATTTGTTTTGCGCAAATATATAGCTGCGGTCTGTCAATAATTGAGTCTGGACCAGACCATCCGGCGCTTATATTTAACCATCGTCAAACACGAGTATGTACTTTCTTTCGCCCGTTTGGTTCAAGTGTAAACCAGAAAGTTCGAACACCTGCAGTACTTACGTCAACAATATAATGGCTACGATTTTGGTGGCCGCCATTATGAGAAACACTGCACCGCGCATGACGCTCAGCGTTGCTTCATAGACGACGTTGAGTGAGGTAGACCCGACAGCATCACAGACAGCCTCCACCACAGACATACTTGTAAATATGGCACCTACAACAAATTGTCACCTCAATTAACCATTAAACTGAGAGAACCGATTTCTCAGAACACACAAGTGGATTGTTTGCTTTTTAATGCCGCATTCAGCAATATTCTACCTATACGGCAGCGGTCTGTAAATATTCGAGTCTGAACCAGAGAGTCCTGTGACGAGCATCATGAGCATGACATGTGTCAACCAAGTCAGCGAACCTGACAACCCGATCCCGTTAGTCGCCCATACGATAAGCATGGGTTGCTGAAGATCAACTGTAACCCGGACCTTCACGTGTTACCCTATACGTGACAAAGTCAACTTAGCATCAACTGATGTGAATGTCGTTAGAAACCTGGCTATGCATATCTATTGTGCAAATTCTTTCAGGGTGACTCATGTCGATTAATTATATATCAAATTGTCAGAAATGCTAAATGACCACCTGTTGGAACATGTGCCGCAGTCCTACATTCTCCACGAATAAAGACATATCTATCTAAGCTATATATGAACGTCAGACATCGTTCTACTTTTGAAAATATGCCATGCACATTTAACTGGTTTTTAACAAGATGTTGGCGAACATACTTACCCTGCTCGTCGGCTGGTACCATTCTAGACAGGATAGCCCGTAATGCTGGTGAGATAGCTGATGAAGCTAAACCCACAACCGGAACTGATACCCGGAAAGAAAGAGTGAACTGAAGGTAAGTGTAACGTGACAATTGGTAGGTTACATATGTTTAGGTATAAACGTATTTTCTAAATGAGTTATGTACCAATTTACCATGTTCCATCCTGTTCCTATAGTTTCAATGTTCGGCGTTAATTAAGAACCAGATTTGATACCATGAGTGGAGGGACAATAACAAGGGCAATATATAATACAGAGGATAATTGGCTTTTCTTGTCAAATGTATTTCGTCTCGTGACCCGACACAATAACATATTTATCACATCTCGTGACCCGACAAGATAACACATTTATTTAATCTCTTGACCTGAAAGAAAAGTTTTTTTCATGCGTGCTGCAATGCAAATGTCAGTTGATTCATATCACGAGTTTATTCATATCTTACCGATCTTCATGACCTAAATATTATAACCATTTTGTCTTTGAATTGTGACTGAAAGTTGTAATTTCACTGGAATTCGATATGAATGTTAACGTTTCAGATAAATACAGTATGTCATCACTAAATGCATAATTAACATAACTACCACTATTTTGGAATATATTTTTAAAGACCCTGGCACTGTTTGGTAGCCCAAAGCTGTAAAATGACTGACATTCATAGCGAATTTAATTTAAAATCATCAAGTAAAGAATATGATATAAAAGTGATCTAGTGAGTTCTGATTTACGTGACTTTAAGCACTTTTCAGTAATATAATCACAAGGGGTGGGTGATTATTATTTTACGCCTCTTTTAACAATATTGCAGCAATATCACGGCGGGGGGGGGACACCGGAAATGATACCCATGTGGGGAATCGAACCCGGGTCTTCGGCGTTACAAGCCGCCTCATTATAACAAGGATAACACATGTGGAGTATCGAACCCAGCCTTCGGCGTGACGAGTCAATACCTTAATAAGTAGGCTACCTTATAACACATAGCACCCACCTAAGTACAACATCCAGTCCACGAAAGCAAGGCCTTGTACAATTTTAGATGCAGCTGCAGACATGAAGCCGATGATACCAACTATACCGTCCGTGGTGCAGACGTGGAGGGCCTTAATGATGACGACACTGCTGAAGTAGTAGACGCCGTACTTCAGGGCACCGTACAGTCCCAGTTTGACAGAGTCCCAGCAAAAGGGCGGACTCAGCATGTACAAGTTCTCGATATTTACTGTGCCATGCTCGTCTATCATCTTAAACAAGAAAACGCTTATACAGATCCAGAATAGGGCACGGTTACCTGTAGCCCCTTTTCTAAAATAAAAACCAAACACATTTTTACGGCCGCAATGGGAGAGATACAGGCCCTATTTCTTTTGACCGTTTCCGGAAGCAGGGTCACCACGACAAGGAGGTCCAGCATTGTCAAGGCAGCCATCCCCACAGACGGATACAGGTAGCCGTTAATCTGAATCAAATACCCAGTGGCTATGTGTAGAGATATCTCAGCGATACCCCTGGCTGCATCCACCACAGCCAGTGCCACGGTTCTCACTTTAGCAGGTGGGGTAATGTCTGCCGTGAACGCGTACCCCGCTAGGTAGAAGGTGAAGCTAGACCCACACAATCCGTCAGCGCCGTACCCGATGAAGAAATAGCGAAGGTCCAGATTCCATGCGATGGTAGCAACTGTCGTGAGGTCTCTGGTGATTCTCCCCACCAACATGGTCATGAACAAGAACCGGCGTCCGAAATAGTCCGAATAGGCTCCAAGAAATAGGTTGGTGAAGATAGCAGGGATGCTTGTAGCGAGGGTGAGCTGCATGTTGAGGTTGGTCGCATCTCTCTGGACCTCATCCTGGAGGTCGGAGTCCGCTGCGGTGTTGTTGACAACACATTGACCGTGAGACGTCTTCCTTTCCGGATACGTTGAGTTTGGAAAGTACTGTTGGCTGTATCGCAGGTATAGGTACTGGGACATGAGTGGACTGTGGATAGCAGAGGAGCCGCCATGGAGGAACAGGATGAGGCTGACGAGGAGCAGGCGGCCGATTTGGGTGGTCTGGTGGTTTCCAGGAACAATGTTCTGGTCGCCGACATCTTTAATGAGTGGTTCTGTCTCACGTCCTTGGTTGATGTTTTCGTCCTCCATCCCAGGCTTGTGTTCGTGTTATTGTGAATCGTATTGATACGGGTTATCAACTGACGTCTTTCACTGACAGATAAACTAGTAAACGTACCTGTCAGTTCCAGTACGTATCACATAATAACCTGGGAACAATCTGGGACACATTGACGAGATTGCACGCCAACATGTACACAGCAGGGTGATGATAACATACTGGGTTTTTTCTAACCGTTTTTTTCACAGAACTAGATAGCATGTAAAGCGATTTGATGTGTATGATTTTAAGACGCTTTTAGCAATATTCCGGCAATAGGACGGCGGGGGACACCAGAAATGGGCTTCACACATTATTGAACAAACTTGATGGTAAACAGCTTCTTTGTTTCGTGAGTGCGACGTTTGGATACGGATTCTTGTGTAACAGCTCACGCCGAGACAACACGACTCGCTGTGGGGTGTGAATCCGTTTATTGTTGAGCAGAAGAAAAATACCCTGTAACATTTCATTATGAATATAAATCACATTGCATTGAATGACAGTGGTATCACAGATTCATTTGCACATATGTGAGAAAAGAAGGGAGACAACTTAAAAAAGCATTTAACGCATGATCACATTTGAACAATAAACAAATGCATTGATAATGAACGGTTTTCCCTTTGAATTATTTCAATTCAATAACGATGCTGGGTTTGTAATAGGAGTTTATTATATACTAGCCACATAAAGAAACTGTGCATTGTCAAAATATTATCCCAGTCGATAAGTACGATAACAATGTCAAAGGTACATATAAACTTTAATGGAGGGATCATGAGACCATAACAAGTCATCGGGGAGAATTGGACTCATCTGTAAAACAACATTTATCCACATAAACAAGGGTCTGCGGACATGATTTCGGCACCACATTCGGCGAGCTTGTCGATGACGTTGTGTCAGGATAGGCCGTATGGCGGGACGTCGTGGTCTGATCCCGTGATGACGTAAACGTTGTCGAACAGTGTTGGGGTGGATACGGCGAAGTCCTGGGATGGTTCGGGCAGTCATCACTGCAGTCTGAAACCTGTGGCGCAGATTGGTCACCCTTATCCATCTGTCCTGTCTTGGCGTTGTTACACGTGGACGTCCAGAACGTGTTCGATCGATGACGTCATTTGTGTTCTGGTAGCGTCTCACCAGTGCAGAAATGGTGTGCCGGTGGCAGTGGAAATGTGCAGCCACTTTTCGTTGAGACATCCCCCACGGACCATCCCAATGGCCTCATGACGTTGTGCAGACGTGAGCCTTGGCATGCTATGCGTTTCAATAGCCGTTTAATTTTTTGAACGATCGCAAGGGCAGGGGTTGAGCTTTCCAAAGTGACAGTATTGTGTGGCATTCATTTGCTCTGTTTCTCTTGCCCGGAATGCACGTGCAACAACGTATTGCACGTCTCAAGGACGAACCCACTGCCGTCACGGAACGTGGCACGTGCATGCATGTTGGATACATGTCACTAATCTCTGAGTTTAAATCCTTATGTGTCTACACAGGTTTGATAAATTTAGATTTTAAATTTTTGTATGCACAGTTTCTTTATGTGCCTAGTATAATATGTATGTTCTCCATATGAGAATGAAAGGCACATGTTTAACATGTCGTATTCAAAATTAGCTCACCCGTCTATAAGACAAAGCAACTCCGTTATCTTCCTGCCCGACGGCAACGTTTGAAACCCTTGGTAACACAAAATTGTCAATTGTACATATAAGACACGCATCCACAGCTAATACATGCCATGCAGATCTCACTCCCAGCAGCCATAATAACAGCGCGTACAGTTTACACACTAGAAAACTTGGAAAGTACTTGAGAGAATTAAATAATAGAATACAACATTAGGTGTGAATATTTTACATCCGGAACCGGTGTAGCTAGCATAACGTTTACATTTTTAAAATGCTAATATTGAAGAATGTGTAAATAGACGTTTTTAGCCTAGAACAGTAGGTTAACTACATTACTAATACTTCATAACCTGACAACTTTATAAAGCATTTGTACAACCAAATATATACTAACTAACCAACCGCCTCCGTGGTGTAGTGGTTAGAGCGTCCGCCTGGAGAGCGGAAGGTCGCGGGTTCGATGGTATCTCAGTGGGCTAGCACTATAAAACCAGCTAAGCAGCTTAAGTCTGGGCTAGTACAAGCAGCCGCACATACACATACACACGCATGCACGTCGTCATATGAGCGAAATATTCTCAAGCACGACGTTAAACCCAATTTCACCTCACCTCACTAACTAAGCTGGACTCACATGTTCGGCACTCAGAACGCAATGACAACCACCAGACACAACGAGGCATCATCTTATTGAAACAGATGATCCAATCAGCCAATCAAAATCCTCAACATTATCACAAAGATTCCCACTAACATGAAATGGACGTGATATGCATATTCATCAAACTGGCCTAACCAGACAACAGGCAAAGAGAAAACCATGATTACTGTTATCCACAAAACTGTACAACACAAAACAAGGAAATGTTTTTTATGTATAGAACAAACTACAATGTATAAAATACGTGAAAACGTCACTGCTACACTTGTACCACTGCCAAGCAGGAAACAAGTTTCACACATTGTACTGATGTGGGGAATCGAACCACGAGTGAACGCTTTAACCACGAGACTACCCCACCACCCCTAGATGACATGTAAAGGCAAGACTGTATGCATAGTATAGAAGAACTCCAAGAACATTCGAATATGTTCCTCTATAATTTTATACACGCCATAATCGCATTAGGGATACTCAATACCCATTCTCTCTCGGTGTCCAGAATATAAAAAATATTTGATAGTATGGAAACTGTTTAATACAATTGCAGCAAAATTTCAAGGTACATTTAACACCGTTATTATCAAACACTGATAACATCGTTATGTACAGGACCCGTGAAGGTTCTGGTTTGAATATTGGCCTTCAGTAACCCATGCTTGTCCAGACCGCCGCCATATAGCTGGAATATTGCTGAGTGCGGCGTAAAACTAAACTCACTCACTCACGCTATCTACAAAGTTAACGAGTAGGAGTTATGTAGGTTCTAGATTTAAATGACAATATACATTTTACTTATAAGTTGCCCATTCAATGCATTTCGTCGTGTATTTGCTTTTGTATGACGTTTCCAAGTGACACTCACATCTTCATTTAGAATGCCCTGTAGTGTTGTAGCTAGTGGTTAATAACACGTTACATTTATTCTGATTTCAAACTTCCATTTGAACAGGGTCCTGACGAAGTTCGTTTTCTGTTTCTAGGTTAAATAGTAAATTCGACACTAAGCTATTCAATGTACAGCTCAATCTGATATTAAAGCTACTGCCAATTTACTACTGAAATTGTCAAAACTTTAAAGCTGCACCGTTTGTCAGCTGTATTATTGCAATATAACGAGTGTCAGTCTGATCCCATGTATTCGAAAACATTTTTATTCATAATTCACCGTTTAGTACAAGCACGTTTGCTCCTGTTGGTTATGTTAGACAGCTGCAAACACCATCCATATGATATACTGCTGACGTCACATGTGAGTTACGTCATGATGACGTCATGGTGGTTCGCTGGGTGACTTCATTTCGACTTTGACCGGAGGCTCGACAACAGACTGTGATTCTTGGGCGTCTCCCTTCGTTATGTAGAGAAATGCACTGCCAATAAATAGACACGTTACAGAAAGTGCCAAAGTACCCTGGTGAGGTTTCCCAGCGGTCCTTGATCACGTGAAAGTATAAAAAGACAACACTATTTGTTACCAAGGTCCTTGGCCTAATTTTCTATATATTTATTTATTTAGGACGTATATTACGAAGCACCGTGCTACAAAATTCAATGCAATGTACACCGAAACGTCGCACTCTTTGCAAATCAGAAGTTGAATATCCATAGACCTTGGTTTTCCTTCATCTTTACAACTTGTAAAATGCCTCTCAAAGACGATGTACCTAAATACACGGTATTCATCATATGAAAAGTAGATCCTATCAAACAAATGAGGCACACTGAATCGATCAATTACATAGAGAATCTCACCATGAGTTGATAAACTAACAAATATCCGAGGCTTGCCGAGGATATTTTTACTTTTATCAACGAGTGTTGATATATTTGATATAAGAGGACACGAGGGTGAGATTCTATTTATCATAAAAATTCACTCTTCATTAGTTTTCAATGAAAAATGTACATCTCTGAACACAGTACTGCCATTAGATTTGCAGTGCAGCGATGTCATAACATTGTGACGTCAACAAGTCCATGACGTCATAGCACTGTCAGGGCATTGTACAAAATCTACTCTCAAAACGATATCTCCTAGGAGATATCGTCTGATCTCACACAAGCGATATCTACTGTGGAACACAGTTTTGGATGATAAATGTACATGTGTCCACACCGAGTTAAAACTATTTTCGTAATGTCTGAAAGACTATCGAACATGCAGGCTTCTTTTAAGACAACAGGTCATAGTAGATGCTTTGAGACTGAACATATGTAATTCAAGGTGACAAATAAATATTTATAATTATTGGTTACATGTATTCATAAAAGTGTTAGAAATATTTTGCGCAACAATCATTTATGACAGTTAATGAGGTGTAGGTCTTACATAATAAAAACAGCGCAGATTCCTCCCATTCCGGCCATTACGAAGAAGACCGCACCTCTGAATGTGTCAACAGTAGCGCGATAGACGGTGTTGTACAATGTCTGCGACAGGGTGCCACACACACCCTCCGCGGCCGCAATACTGGAGAACATAGCACCTGCAACACAGAACATAGGATAGCACCTGCAATACAGACCATAGTATAGCACCTTCAACAAGGCAACTATTTTGTGAGGCTGTGTCCGGTATTGGACAGGTTCACCCAAACGCAACTTTCCCAAAGAGTATGGTACAGTGCGCGAGGTCCTCGGGATATTGACGGGATATTGCAGGAAATGCGGCGTAAAACTATTCTCGCTCACCTTGTTCAGTCGATGACGTCATCTTCGACATGACAGATCGGGCAACAGGGACGACGGTGAATGATATAAGGCTGACCAGAGGAACTGCAAAAATATCAAATGTGTAGGATATGACGTAAAGATTTATGTATTTCCAATATATACGAATAATGGTATTGTGAAAACAAAAGGGTATGTATTTTGTTACTCGTGTATTATAAACCTGTATATTTCGATATTGTGGCAGACGAGATTCCAGACAAATAGTGTATTTAAATGTCCACGCTCTCTCGGAGGGTTTGATTCCATGCTATTGGGACCACGTGTAACATCTAATTCGACACGTAGGGTACTGAGTGAGTGCGTGAGTGAGTGAATTTAGTTTTACGCCACACTCAGCTATATGGCGGCGGCCTGTAAATAATAGAGTCTGGACCAGACAATCCAGTGATCAACAGCATGAGCATCGATCTGCGCAATTGGGAACCGTGACATGCGTGAACCAAGTCAGCGAACCTGACCACCCGATCCCGTAAGTCGCCTCTTACGACAAGCATGGGTTACTGAAGATCAATTCTAACCCGTACCTTCACGGGTCACATAGGGTAGTGGAATAGCCAAGTGGCAAAGTCTCCATTTCTGGTCGACCATGCACCATGATATTGTAGAGATATCGCTAAAAGCGATGTAAACATTGTTCACCTAGTACTTTGTTTAGTTTTGTTAAAGCGTTTTTTAGCTTCAAGTCAGCAAATTGAAGGACAATGAAACCAAGAATGGACTGGAAGCAATACCCATTTAACGAATTCAACCTGAGTAGTTAAGAAAAGCCTAGGAAACCATGTTTATAAACATAAGAGATCTCGGCTAAAAACAGTCCTTTCTGCGATTCTTGTCATAACTATGTGAATATATGAAATCTTGTGATGATACCATGTGTTCGCAAAAGGGCCAGTGTATCATGCCCCAATAGAGACACAGCTCACAAACACATGCAAAGGTAAGTCAAGTATGCACAAATAGTTCAGATCAATATACGTAATTGCAAGGTAGTTGTTGATCAGTTTCACATCAGTAATACAATTGTCACATGCACCAATGGCCAGAGAAGAACATCCATCCGACTGTTGCTTTGTCTTCCGAAACATAACCAGCCCTGTGTTATAAATGAACTATTAATGGCACATAATCAATTACAAACATGTACCTGACCTTTGTAAAAAATTCTCATTGACATCTACAGTTACCCCACCATAAGTGTTTAAATAATATTTAGTAGAGTGCTCTCAATGTTTCCTGTGAAACAGTGGAGAAACTTCAGAATCTACAATCTTACCCGAATAAAGCATCCAGTCATTGAAAGCCAGTGCCTCTATCACCAACGAGGCGGTGCCGAAAGCTAATCCAATCAACGCAATTGTCATGTCTCGAAAACATGGTTGTAAAAGTTTGAGTCCAAAGAGGCCACACAAAACAGAGAAGGACAGTCTGATAGCACCATAATAGCCGATCTTCAAAGGGCTCCAACAGAACGGCTTGTCTAATTGATACAGAATTTCCAGGCTTGACCTTCCCATATTTCGGAACATCCCAAAAAAGAATATAAGCAATGCTAGTATATACATAGCTCGCTGTTTGCCCGAACCTCGTGCGAAGAAGAAACCCAAAACCTTCTTGATGTGTGGCAGCGGAGACCAATGTTTTTCCACCTTCTCGGTCATAGTTTCAGGTAGGATTGTAATTATCAGGATCAGTGGCAGAGTAAAGATGGCGGTAATCATTATGGCAGCGTACAAGTAACTGACCTTATCTATGAGGAATCCAACGGCCAACTGGCCGACAGACCCAGCCACAGCAAAGAAACCCTCCACAATGGCTATCATAATAGTGCGTTTCTTTCCAGGCTCCGTGACATCTGCAGTGTATGCAAACACACCCAGTAAATACCCGTTATAAGACCCAGAGAGACCCTCCAAAACATAACCCAAAAAGAGCCAGTCAAGGGAAAGCCGAAACGCTATGACAAGACAGAGAACTGTTGCTTTCAGAGCCGCCCCTAGGTTTGGCATGAAGAATAGGACTCTTCTTCCAAGAAAGTCGGAATAGGATCCTATAACCAGGTTGACGAAGATGGAAATAATGGATCCAGAGATTGATAAATACAGCAAGATGTCCGCCGATTGTTGCTGGATCTTTACTCTAATCAGATTGTCATCGTTGCTTTTGTTCCTGCTGCAGATGTTCCCATTTCCATTGCTAACGTTTGTATTGTTGGTGTAGGACTCGGCTATCCGTTTTCTCACCAACTGGGTGACAACTGGTGACATGGCTAAAACACCTGACATATAAACTACCGCGACTATCCCACAAGCCACCATGGCCCTTAGCAAGGGCACCCTCTTGGCATTACCATCACCATCATCATCATCATCATCATCTCTGTGGATACTGTAACCGTTAGAGCTACCATCTTTCCCCATGCTGCTGGTGTTCCTCGTACACTGCTATGATGCCTCAGTCAGCTCATGGAAACAGTCACAAGAGCGTACGTTATCACATGAGTGCACAGGTGATAAAAATACTTAAATTAGAACACCACTTATAAGGTCACGAGGCAGGTTGATAGTAGTTTAGTAACGTCCACTTGTATGTGTTTAGATACGTATCGTGTCATGACTGTGGTAAACTGTATGATAAATGAGCGTAGCATCCGCGCCAAGTGAGATCAGTATCTTCCGTTCCGGATAGAGAGTAACACCTGGATTGACTATTTCGAACATTATTACCGGTTTGTTCTTTGGTTGTTGTTTTTTGTGTGTGTCCTGTTGGGAGATAGATCTATGAAGTTTATCAGGGGGCTAAGACAAAAAGAAAATGATTCAAGACGAAACTGTTATTCGAACCCCAAATCCATGTTCTTTCTGACGTCGGATGGTAAAGGATAACGGCCTCATAGTCCCCGAACCTCATTGTTTCCATTTCTCCATACCCTTTCAGGAATATATGAGCCAAACTAAAGCAAGTATAGGTGTATAGTTTCCGATCTGAATCTCCGGGTTCACAGGGCCTCCTTTATTTATAACAGGTATTTGTTTCTATCAATAAAAATATGTTCAATTAATATATATCAACTAACCATTGCTCTAGTAAAGGATGAAACTCACATATCAGTAAAACAACACAAATGCGCATTAAATAAATAGACACAATTACAAAGATACAACTTTGAAGCGTTTCTCTCTGCATTTAAATACATTTATGCTTTGTTTATTCCACACCGTCTATGAGTGCACTAATAGTAAACATATCAATGAACTGGTCTTCAGTTGAATTTGTCTTCAGCACCTCATGTTACAAAGGTAAGAGGAAAGTAACGGGATCAGGTGGTAAGGCTCACCGACTTGGCTGATACATGTCAATGTGTCCCATTGGCGAAAACCGACGCTCATGATATATAGAATCGATTATTAACAGACCGCCGTCATACAACTGAAATGTTGCCGAGTTCTGTATTTAAAACTAACAAACAAAACTAACAATGAACAAACTCAACAAACACATTTTCATCGTGACATGTGTAAACTTACGTTACTAGGATATACCATTGTACCATCATTATTGTAACACCGAATAACCATGTTTTTCCTTGTTCATCTCTTTGAGAATCTAGTCAACCATGGGTGTTTACCACTTTTGCAATACAGTTAATTCTGTTTCTGACTGTCGAATCTAACATTTTGGGACGTCTTTGTCTTGTCACGAGTTATAAGTGAGTGAGTGAGTGAGTTTAGTTTTACGCCGCTTTTAGCAATATTCCGGCCAGCAATATCACGGCGGGGGACACCAGAAATGGGCTTCACACATTGTACCCATGTGGGGAATCGAACCCGGGTCTTCGGCGTGACGAGCGAACGCTTTGACCACTAGGCTACCCCACCGCCCTCACGAGTTATAAGTATTACTGAGACACTTATGAACGTAGACATAAAGGTTGCAAAACAATTCCTTCTTTATCTCATGGCTACGCTAACTTTACAGGTGTTACAGATAGCCTGTTTATGCAAAGTGGGAAATAGAATAACATTTTACATCCCTGTGCATTGAACCCAGGCACAGGCCTAAGAGCATTGAACCCGGGTACAGTTTCCAAGAGCTTTAACCCAGGTAAGGTGCCCAAGAGCATTACACCCAGACACTGTTCCAAAGAGCGTTGAACCCAGGCACAGTTCCCAAGTGCGTTGAACCCAGGTACGGTTCCCAAGAGCTTTGAACCCAAGTACGGTTCCCAAGAGCGTTCAACCCAAGTACGGTTCCCAAGATAATTGAACCCAAGTACGGTTCCCAAGATAATTGAAACCAAGTACGGTTCCCAAGATAATTGAACCCAAGTACGGTTCCCAAGATCAATGAACCCGGGTACGGTTCCCAAGATCATTGAACCCGGGTACGGTTCCCAAGATCGTTGAACCCAAGTACGGTTCCCAAGAGAATTCAACCCCGGTTCAGTTCCCAAGAGCGTTGAAACCAAGCACAGTTCCCAAGAGCGTTGAACCCAGGTAAGTTCCCAAGAGCGTTGAACTTTAAGTACGGTTTCTTTGTACAGTAACAGGTTCAGGAGAGGTTATCAGTATGTGTGACTGACTGCTGTCTGCCGCTATACCCATTCCTTGGGTTCCTTGTAACTGCGAGGTCATCACAGGTAAAGCTGTTGAAGTCATTGTGAACATGTGAACAACTGGAGTTATTCTTTATTGCGGAATGCGTGAATATCATACATTATACATGATGATAATTTGGGACAAAAAAACATCTAACATATGCCAACTCAAACAACAACATGCAGAAAATTATGTTGTGAGATTGTTGCAGAAGCACACGTTATATACCACTGTATATAACTTATTAGTTAACTTCACGAAACCAGCATCAAAATATACCGTATGTGTCATTTTATTAAATACCAAACTATAATGCATACATGTATGTAAATTACTTCAAAGGACCATGTAATAATACTGAAACCATTCACAAAGAACAAAGCTGTGGTAAACAGGTACAGTGTTGTCATCCCGATGTGTAGAGTTCGATTCATTTTTGGTTTGTGAAACCTCGGGACAAATTGTTTCTCCGTAGCAAGCTCAGTAAACAACTGTGCCACACAGTAGCACGACTCTTCTTGAAGCAAATTGGACTCCACAATTCTTCACAAGTCATTGCTTCACAGTCCCTTGAGAAAGTAGTCAAAGTGTACTGTTACATTTGGGCTTACGCCTTTTTAGTAAAATACAAAATCCTATATATTTTGGAGGTTGAATCCAATCCTGGATTCTGTCCCACAACTTCGGGATTAGCACAATGCTAACACACTGTCATTGGCCGAACCCACTTAGGGAAGCCTCTGTTGGTAAGAGACTCAGCGACGTAACCCAGAGAAAATGTATAATATATATATATACACACACACACACACGTGCACACACACACACGCACAGATCACTGAGAGCTAATATATTTAAGAAAAGAAATGAAGAAATTATATCTGTACAAAGGATCTTCAGACTTTTGTCTTTTGTGTGTGTGTATATATATATACTGAGAGCTAGGGCTCGTGTTCAAATTATAAAAAAAACAGCTGAAGCGGTCCGGCGGTCAAGCTCAATAATTGGTTGATTGCAAGTAATCGGACCCCGACATGATAGATTACTGCACTGGATTGTGCTGCCCAAACTCGGTTATTTACAGCCAACGGTTATATAGCTGGAATACTGCTGCGTGGCATCGGTAACAAAACCAAACAACAACAAAACACAAAGAAACCCATCGATGCCTAATGGAAAGCTTTGCTAGCTGTTTTTTGTTGGCTTTTTCTTTTTTTTTTTAAGGGTGGGGATAGGGTGTGGTGGGTTGGGGGTTTGTTGTTGTAATTCTTGTGTTGTTGTTTTTGTACACTACAACATCAACAGTATTGGCTTGTGTCTTTACCGGTAAGGTCGGTTAGTGGTTGAAGTGTTCTCTTGTCTCACTGAAGCCACGCGCTCGAATCGCGTTACGTGAGTGTGAGTGTGTAGGGAATACACCCTGGGTCAAGGCACATAGGCCTCCATACTGGTAGTTCATTTTTACAAATGTCCAAAATGATGAAAGAGTTACGTCATTTCAGATCCAGAAATATGACCCAGAAAACAGTTTTATGTTTATGAGATCTTCACTAACTTCTTCGTGCATTGCGAGTGTTGGGCACGTGCATGTGTCTCAGTTTCATCCATTGCTTGTCGTGTCTGTACACGTATGTGGGACCGATGACGTCGCCTCCTTGTTCACAGTCACGCCTTCACTGGGTGGAGGAACTGTTACCTCGTAGACAAGGTCCCCGCTGTCCCGAGAGATGCAGAGGAAGACCCTACAATATACAAAACCAGACACGTCAGCTGCATGTTACGATCTGGCAGGGTTGGTTTCACCACGTAGTGAGGGAGGGAGGTTTTACGCCGCTTTTGGCAATATTCAAACACTATCACGGCGAGGGACTACATAATTAGGGTTAAACTGCGTTTGGGTTTAGCTGACTACTATTCAAGCTGAATACTTGCGGGTATACATAATTTACGTCCACAAATACAAATAATTACTGTTGGAAACGCCAGTATACGCATAAAACATTCCCCAACCCCAGGCACGTGATTACATATAGTTGTGAGCCGTGACCAATCTGAGGCCTTGTAACAGCGTGTGGGAAGACTGCAGGGGTTCAGACCAATGAAAACTCCCCTTATATCAGCCCTGTGGGGATACAGTGAAGAGACCCCAGGTACGTTAGGCGAGGAGGTTAGACTCGGTGACTTGGCTCATTGATTGTATGTCATCCTTTTCTCAAGGCAATAATACCCATCTCTCAAAGTCAAAATGGCTGAGTCCTTGTTCCAGCGATTCGGAATATCGAGAGTGTTCAGACCAATGTTGCCCCGAGGGGATACAATGAATAGTTACTTTGTCGGGAGGTCAGGCTCGATGACTTGGTAATTGCGTGCCATCGTATTCTCGAGGCAATAATAGCTACTCACAATGTTAGTCTTCTGGCGCTGACTGGTTTGCTCAGAGTGTAATAATCATTTAATTTCCATTGTACTCCACAGGTCATTACACGTATAACCTGGGACTACATATCCCGGTGCAGATCGTGGATGCACAAAATCCATTGCAGACCTCGTCTTACACAAGCCATTATATAAACCAACGATTTTGCCAAAATCTCTTTTTTATTCATTTTGCAACGCCGTAGAAAGGGTTTGTATTGCTGATGGAAGTTAGCGTATCATCGTATGGGTTGCAGTTGCTGAAGATATATATAACTTGTGATACTTACACGATCAAACCAGCAGTGAGGACACCAAACCCTGCCATCATTATAAACACGGCCCCTCTGAACACTCCTACAGTACTCTGATAAACGGCGTTGTAGAGAGTGTTGGACATGGTGTTGCAGATTGTTTCCATGGCAGCAATACTAGAGAATAAGGCACCTTCAGAGAAAGAAAATCGGAAACATGAATCAAAGACCGTTTCATATTTATGTTCAGTAAAATGATATAGCATCTTGTGAAATCGAAAACATGAATTGAAGAGCGTTTCATATCTATATTCAGAAAAAAATTGGATATAGCACCTTTTAACAAAGAAAATCGGTATCATGGGAAAGCATTTCATATTTATGATCAGTATAAGAATATATCACGTTATGAAATAGGAAACATGAATGGAAGAGCGTTTCATATGTATGCTCAGTAATAGGATGTAGCACATTCAAACGAAGACAATTGGAAACATGAATGGTGAGGGAGTTAGTATGGTTTTACGCCGTTTTTAGCAATATTCCAGCAATTTCACGGCGTGACATCAGAAATGGGCTTCACCCATTGTACCCATGTGTACCCGCCCCGAAACATAAATGGGAGAGCGTTTCATATTAATGTTCAATAATAGAATAAGACATGGGCAATCAAAGAGAATTGGAAAGATGAAGGGGAGAGTATTTCATATTTATGTTTAAATTTCGTTCGAACAAGTGAACATTGATCAGAATGAATTTTTAAATCTAATCATTGCAACCGGTATACGAACTTACCTTGTTCTAGTGGAGAGGTCATTTTGGACATCGTTGCCCTGCTGACGGGAACAACATTGAAGGCTATGAATCCGATCACTGGCACTGAAACAAAGAAATGGTTCATATTATCTGGATCAGCGTGAAAAATGGAGTTAGAAACTTTGTTGTCTGCATCACATCACATCATAATAACATGGAAATTTATTTGCCATGTCACAGGTTTGGCTGACCCATGTTTCACGGTCAAATGTCAGTGTCAATGGTCAATGGGCAATTGGCTATTCCAACATTGGCATCCACTAACTGTTTCAATAGTTTCACAATAAAGGAAATTACAGTTTCTATTTAATAATTATACATATTTTACTCCACATTTGTTACACGACTATTAAGGATTAACGGGGATTTGTATTCACACTTCACGTTATGGTGATGGAACAGAAACCTTTAGAATATCTACCCGAATAAAGCATCCAATCGTTGACGGCCAGTCCCTCCATCACGAAGGATGCTGCTCCGAATGCTAGTCCTATCAAGGCAATTGTCATATCCCGGAAGCAAGGCTGCAGAAGCTTCAGTCCAATGACGCTACATGCGACGGTGAAGGACAGTTTGATAGCACCATAGTAGCCGATTTTCAAAGGGCTCCAACAAAACGGCCTGTCTAACTGATACAGAGTTTCTACTGAAGTCCGACCCAGATTGACAATTACTCCAAAATAAAATATAAGCAAAGCTAGTATATACATAGCTCTCTGTTTGCCTGAGCCACGTGTGAAGAAGAATCCAAAAACCTTCTTAACGTGTGGCAGCGGAGACCACTGTTTCTCCATTTTGTTGGTCATAGTTTCAGGCAGCACTGTCACGACCACGAGAAGTGCGATACCAAAGATGGCAGCAACCATTATCGCAGCGAATAGGTAGCTTACATCCTCAATGATAAAACCAACAGCCAGCTGTCCAACTGCACCGGCAACAGCTAAGATTCCCTCCATGAGAGCTATCATGAAAGTACGCTTCCTTCCAGGGGTTGTGACGTCGGCAGTGTATGCAAACACGGCTAACAGAAAGGCAGTAAATCCTCCGGTACATCCTTCCAAAAGGTACGCAAGATAGGCCCAATTAAGAGACATATTGAAGCCAATGATGAAGCACATGAACGTTGCTTTCAGGGTTGCTCCAAAAGTTGGTACAAAAAACAGGAATCTTCTACCCAGAAAATCAGAGTAGGACCCCAGAAGGAGGTTGACAAAGATTGAGACAATCGAACCCGGTAGCATAATAAAAAGCATAAGTTCTGACGCCTCTTCTTGGATTTTGATTCCAAGTCTTACGTTGTCGTCACTGTTATTTCTTTTGCAGACGTCATCAGCGCCGACGCTACCGTTGGTGTTGTTGGAGTAACTCTCAGCTACTCTGACCCGTATATACTGGCTGAGGAGCGGAACGAGGGAGATCAAGCCAGACATGTACAGAATCATCATTACCCCACACAGAATCATGGCCTTTACGAACGACTTGGGCTTGGGGTCCACCTCCCCAAGGAGCGGCTCCTGTTCCTCCTCCTTCGACATTGTGGACAAGACTGGTGTTTTAGTCCTCCTGAAACATAGTCATAGGAACTGTAGATAGCGCTGGCGCTCTGCGAGAGAACATATGACCACTGCCTGTCAGAAAGTAGTCTTCGCTGTTCTAAAGGTCATTAAATGAACCGATCTGCCTTGTGCGTAGGTGGGCGTGTTAGGAGTATCGCGTGATGGTGGGTTGAGTTGACAGTGTGATCAGTATCAGTATATAATCTCGTATCAAACTCACACTTCACATGTTCCCCGATTAATGCGGTTGTGTGGTCTGTAATTATGTATGCAACGAGGATAAAAGTGACCGGTCATTAACATAGTTTATTAAGTGCGTTGGACTGCCGACTGGGGCGGTGGGGTAGCCTAGTGGTTAAAGCGTTCACTCGTCACGCCGTAGACCCGGGTTCGATTCCCCACATGGGTACAATGTGTGAAGCCCATTTCTGGTGTCCCCCGCCGTGATGTTGCTGGAATATTGCTAAAAGCGGCGTAAAACCAAACTCAGTCAGTCAGTCAGTCAGACTGCCGACTTATAGCAGGGATATTGCTCAGAGCAGTGTCGAACAATAAACAAAAAGGACTTATAATTAGTAATGACGTGAAGTCCACATCTGATTTCTCCTTGATCGAGTACATGAGTTGTGTTTAATACGACGAAGAAGAATGTATCAGTTATATTGTGTTGGAAAGTCGCTTGTGCCTTACAATTCAGCTTCTCGGCGAAGCTTCTCAGAGAGATCTATGTTGACAGGGTTCATTATCGGGGCAAATGGATAACACGACCTACGATAAGACGGACCTGACGCGGCTACGGTATATACTTCGATTAGCCAGCTTACGCCATGTGCATTCGTACATGTAGAGCCGAACACACCGTCACCTTGGTTCCCTGCTATCTATGACCTGTGAGATCAGAGGTCACTTCAGAGCAATCTCACACGTCCGTGTGTACTTGACATTGAACGGCAACGTTGATGATTATTATTATTCTATGGAGGTGTTGCTCTCTCGATGACGATGGGGTCATTCAGAGTGCAAGGTCAATGAACAGGTCTATCAGTAGCAGTACTAAACAAAGAGCTAAGTGATTCACTGGGATTTGATCTTTCCTGGACGTTTATATTCATTCTATCGTTCTGTGTGTTACTCTCGGTAACCACTATTATTTACTCTGCACATCACACCCGTTACACACAGACGTATTTTGAAGCTCACAACACTCTGTGTTTGTACATAGCCTACCTGTATTGATAACGTCCGCGCGTCGTTGTACCTGCAGTTGATCTATTGCAGGACTCGTAACACAGCGAGGCTGTACCGACTGCAATACATCAGCCCGAGGCAAGAGACAATAAAAGTCAGGTTTCCACCGGTTTGCTCGTTTGTTTAACGCCACACTCAGTAATATTCCGGCTATATGTCGGCGGCCTGTAAATAATCGATTATGGACCAGGCAATCTGGATCACCATCATGAGCATCGATCTACGCATTTGGGATACGATGACATGTGTCAAAAAGGTAAGCGAGCCTGAACGCCCGATCCCGATAGTCGCCCCTTACGACAGACAACTATAAAAATAGTCCGTTTGGCTCAAAAGCGGACCGATGAATTGCAATCTAACTCGAAAACTAATAAACATAAAATACTCAATGAAACGCTGATCATAATCAAAACATCATACCAACTCTGTGAGTTTTTGGAAGAATTTGTGTCCCAAAAATAAAAAAGTTGTTTAACAAACTATCATTAAAATATTGACACAGTTCACTGTTTGTTACGAGGGAGGAGTGCAGAGAAAGGGACAGCCAGGTGTTCGAGAAGCACGTTCACAGACAAAGTTATTTATTCATTAACCTGTGCTGTGCCGTCTCCATCCGTTCTCGAACATCTGGCTGTCCCTTTCTCTGCACTCCTCCCTCGTTTAAAATAATGAACTGTGTCAATATTTTAATGATAGTATGTTAAACAACTTTTTTATTTTTAGGACAAAAATTCTGCAAAAAACTCACAGAGTGGGTATGATGTTTTGATTATGATCAGCGTTTCATTGAGTATTTTATGTTTATTAGTTTTCGAGTTAGATTGCAATTCATCGGTCCGATTTGGAGCCAAACGGACTATATATATTTTTTTTATAGCATGGGTTGCTGAAGACCACTTCTAACCCGGATCAACACGGATAGGCTGAGAGCGAGCGAACTTGGTAGAAAGTACTCCACGGCTTTGCTGTTATTCGATAGTTCAGTAGTACGCCGACCACATTATCATACCATTATAATACTGGTAGTATACTTATCTGACACTGATATTTATGATATTGCGCCCGACCTAGCACAGCATGTTATTAGCCGTGACAGCTTGACTGACTTGTGATGAAGTCTGTAGTTCTGTTTCATATGAACTGTTTAACCTCCCATTGCCCGGCCAGATGTATACTGCATTGTTACCTGTATCATGCCTAATGTATATAAAGACACTTAGACTTGATTATGATTATCAGTGCCAATGTAATCTATACTAACTACGTGGATATTTACAGATAACTGGAAGTGAGTGAGTGAGTGAGTGAGTGAGTGAGTGAGTGAGTGAGTGAGTGAGTGAGTGAGTGAGTGAGTGAGTGAGTGAGTGAGTGTAGCCTTACGCCGGCAATATTCCAGCAATATCACGGCAGGGGACAACAGGAATGAGCTTCACACATTGCACCCATGTGGGGAATCGAACCCGGTTCTTCGGTGTGACAAGCGGACGCTATAACCACTAGGCTACCCCACCGCCCAGCTAGAACATAAAGTGCAGATTTAGACAATAAATAAACACAAACGAGATATCATCAGTGTGTATATATATATACATGTTTTGTAAGAAAGACAGACTGACTGACTGAGTTTAGTTTTACGCCGCTTTTAGCAATATTCCAGCAATATCACGGCGGGGGACACCAGAAATGGGCTTAACACATTGTGCCCATGTGGGGAATCGAACCCGGGTCTTCGGCCTGACGAGCCAACGCTTTAACCACTAGGCTACCCCACCGCCCCTTGTAAGAAAGAGACAAGCGTAATTAATCCCGATGCCGCGACAAAAGTCAGTGCGGAAATGTCTCATTGTGCTTGTGTGAGCGTAACCCATGTACCTGGCAATGCGTACGGTGCGCCTACAATCAAGCGCCTTATTGTGTAAACATTTATCAGTGACCACAGGTCATTTGGGGTTCACTGCTCTGTGTTAGTCAATGATGTATTGGGCAGCTGGCAAATATCAGCTGTATCATGGCGTCCTGGAGACTAACATCTATTTTACAGTCAAAAAGAAACGCAACCCCTGTCCTCAGATATGAAAAATTCGTTTGAATGAAGTTATTGCTTCCAAACTAAATTTTATTCGAATGTATTGAAATTATACACGTAATTAATGAAGATTACCATCAAACAACTGCATTTGTACGCATAAGTGTATTTTATTGCTTATTCCGTCACAACGCATGAAATGACCCTCATGGTGACTTCGCACAAAAAAAACACATGCAAATCATGAAAATGGCAGTTAATGTAGGGGTGTATAAAAGCCCATGTGCTTTCGTATTATATTCATTCATTTGTCGCCGAAAAGCTGTGTTAAAATGCCACGATTGAGTGCTGCCGACCGAAATATCGCCATTGGTCGTGTTCAAGCCGGAGAAAGTTTTGGAACTGTTGCACGGCACCTAAATGTTCACAAAACAACGATATCCCGACTTTGGAGCCGCTACAACAACTTCAATTTGACCAACGATCGCCCGAGAAGTGGAAGGCCAAGAATCACGACCCCCTTCAAGATCGGTACATCCGGGTCCATCACCTGCGTAATCGGCATGCCCTACCAACCGTGACTGCCACACAAATACCAGGTTTGAGGAGAGTGTCAGCTCAAACGATTAGGAACCGTCTGAAAGAAGCGGGTTTACGTGCCTGTAGACCAGTTGTTGGACCTGTACTACGCCCCTACATCTCCGCCGACGACTCAGGTGGTGCAACAACGTAAGGATATGGACTTTACAAAACTGGAGGCGCATCTGGTTTCTGATGAATCCCGTTTTCTTTTGCAACATCACGACGGAAGAAAAAACGTGTGTATAGGAGACGTCATGAACGTTTTGCGCCCATCTGCGTCCGACAGGGGACAGATTTTAGCGGAGAAAGCGTTATGGTTTGGGGATCCATCTCATACAACCAGAAATCAGACTTGGTGATCGTTGAAGGAACCTGACAGCCCAACGTTACATCAACCACGTATTACAGCCTCACCTTCTCCCGATTATTGACCAACAGACACAGATTTTTCAACCAGACAACGCCCGGCCTCATACTGCACGTGCAACAATGAACTTTCTGCAGAATTCCAACGTCAATGTCTTGCCATAGCCCTCTAAATCACCAGACCTCAACCCTATTGAACACCTGTGGGATACTCTGGGTCGACGCGTACGTCAACGTCAGCCGCCGCCACAGACGCTGCAACAGCTCGGCGTTGCACTGCAGGAGGAGTGGAGAGCCATTCCCCAGGAAAGAATCCGGCATCTTATCCGTTCTTGTCCAAGGAGATGCCGTGCAATGATTGCAGCTCGTGGTGCTCATACGAGATACTGAAAGACGCCCCCTGGTGACAAACTGGTGTCTGTGAGATGACTTTTGAAATGACAATTTTAAACATGCCCATCTTGGTTATTATTCTGCCAAATTTCAGACTTCTGTCTTAAATAATAAAATGCTGTGTTGTCTTAAAACTTCAGATCAAAATCTCTAAAATACAGGGGTTGCGTTTCTTTTTTGACAGAGTTTATTTTACAGACAAAATTAAAATAAAACACAATAAAAAGGAGCCCAGGGACTTTCTTCATTTTCAGAAACTGTGGTAATCTAGACTTGCCACACATTCTAGACTTGCGTGGGCTACATTGGGTATATTTGTTTCAGGGTCTATATGACAGACTAGGTATCCTGTAAAAAGGTGAGTCTGACCAGGCAAATTAGTGGTTGACCGCATGAGCGATCCCTGATATCGGGTTATGATGACAAAGAATCACATACCGAGCCCTCTTTCCTTCCTTAACTGAAAAATGTAATATATTAGGGAGCTATCCTGGACTTTTGATAATAGCATGAATCACTTTCGGGATAAAATCATCGTGTAAGGTTTTGTTAATACTGTTACAGTGCATATATTTCTTCATACAGTTTTATATTTTTTACAAATTATTCTTAAAAAAGGAAATCCGTATATGTGCAACTCGCTGTGCATAGTCTGTCTTGTTAATGGCATAACTTGTCAAGCACAGCGGCAGTCATTCAGCAAACCTGT